TATTGTTGTCTTGCTTAGTTGCCAGTTGTTCGATTTTAAGTATCTGTCTCTTTTCAACATATACAAGTTCATTAATTATCACTTTGCTTGGCGTGCAATAGTATACGTGTACTCAGGGCGTAGTAAAACACGGGCGGTGAAACGCGCTAATATTTGCCTGATCCATGTGTGATGCACGGGAGACTGGCGCGAGCGCGCAAAATGCGCGGAAATAGCGGGATTTTTAAAGACGAAGCGAAGCAAAAACAAGAAACAAAAATATTTAAAGGGCAATCAAAAAGTACAATTTGTTAAGGTAAATCTATCCTTAAAATGGAAAAAAATAACTTGTTATAAAATAGAGACTCTTGCAATTAATTAGTATTGCAAATTACATCGCTGGATTTGGAAAAGTATTTTTAAACTGTGAAATTATTTGAATGCATAGCTAGCGATTTTATCATAAAATATATATTTACATTTTGCAGGCAATGACAAATTGTAGTCGAGTTTTTTAGCCAGACCGAGTGGAAAAAAAAATATAACTTCAACCATTTAAATTATTTATAATTAGTTATACTTTCGATCCGAAAAGGTTGGAAAATGGGCTTTTGTGGGCTTTTTTTTAAATTTAAAGTTTTATGACCAGGTCACTTGCGTAAGCTACAATGACACAACTTGTGACCTTGTTTTGGTAAAGTTGGGAAACAATTGTCAATTTAGAAAACATTGGAAACATTTTCATTAACATATTCAGTCATTTAAGGTGGCTCCCTACAGTTCTCTAAAATTCTAGGTATTTTGAGTATCGTTCGCTTTGAACCGAATTTATATTAGATACACTCAAGACAAGGCAATATGATCATTTCCAGGAAAGTTGAGAAACTGTGTGCTGTCCATTTATGAACAAATTAAAACAGAGTTTGCGTTGCCATGGCAACCAAGACGTGTAATCTTTTGCACTTTTATTGTCTAATTTCACAATAAATTGACAATATCTATATTTTCCTTCGGTGAATTTTTCTGAATTTTTTTTTGAAGATTTATGGTCCATAAAGGAAAAACATATCAAAATTTGAAGGGAATTTATAAATAAGTTTTCGAGATATTCGTGAATGACGGTTACAGAAAAAGTTATTTGTAGAATTTCTTAAAATTTGGATATGTTGTACCACTTGTCTTTTATAACAAAAATACAAAGTTTTAAAAAATTTCACCGAAGAAAACACAAGAAAATCATCGCTAAAATCGGCGTGGCCAGCATGAAAAAAAAATCGACTCGACATGAGCACGATCTGCGCATGCGTGTAAATTGTAGCGTGTGATTTATAGTGATTTCAACTTTTTGACTTACAATACATAAGAAAACAGATATTTCTGACTTGTTTGACATGAAAATAAAATATTAATCTTGAAAATACTAATAAAAAACACTATTATAGGCATTGTATTAAATCCAGTGTTAGTTTACATTTGTCTTTGTTGTTAAAATCGGTGTGAAAACTTTTCAAAACATCGTACTACAAGTTTAACTTTTCATATAAAACAACTCATAACTGTTTTATTTGATTTAGCAGATAAAACGATACCTGTAAATTGAATTGATTGACAGAACTTATATAAGTTTCGGCAACAGTTCACTACTGTTCAAGAGTTAATAGAAGACAGTGTCATTTCAGTTTGACAGCTCGCAAAACAACAAGTTGAAAATTTTGAGCAATATGAAAGACAATACTGAACGTAAATACGTAAAAACACACTAAAAGGTAGGTTAAACTAGTTAATAACATACGTACTGTTCGAATTCAGAAAAATAGGATTATAATGAAAAACTGGGGCTTTCTTTGTAGATAAAAAACGCCAAAAAACTTCCCGCGGCTTGTTTCAATATTTTTGCCGAACAGTAAACACGATTCCACGCGCAGGTCGCGAGGATGAAGTCTGATCTATATAAATCGTATTTAAACTGTACTAACTGTAGGGAGCCACCTTAAATGCAAGATAAAAGTTAGGGAAAATATTCAATTATAAGGAACAACAGAAAATTCCTCAATTTGTCTCCCTTTTCGAACTTACAGTATGCAACTGAAATGTCCAAAAGACTCCAAATTGCATAATGTTCACAGCGATGGTCGCGCAGTTTTACAAGCGCAGAAAATTTTTAACTTTTAAATTTTTCATGCACAATATATGAAAACTAGCTTCATTTTGATATTTTTGGATAATTCACGTACCTGATTTTCAGCAAATCACCAAATGATAATGGGCTTTTTTTTAATTTTTAAACATTTTTTTGCGTTTATTTTTGACATGTGCATGCCGAAATCTACACATGCATGGAATACAAGCAAGCGATAGTTTGTTGTCGGCGACAACATGACATTTGTATGCGCCATGATGGCTGCCTTTCCATGTTTTAAGCTCTGTATTTATTTATTTAGAATAGAATAATTTATTTAATGTCGAATGACATAGAGTGTGGTTGCCCAATCACTCGAGCCAGGGGCTCATGATAGAAGTGCTCGACAAAATACATTTTTACCAATATATAAAATATTTACATGATATTAATTAATTAATAATCTATATACTAATACTAACACTACTACTACAACTAAATGCATGCCTAGCATTAACAGCCAAATAAATCAGATTGGTGAATCTGGTTTCTAAATTCAGATAATGAGGTAGATGACTTGGCAGAAAGTGGTAACTGATTCCAAATATGGGAAATAATATACTTATAGGAGTAATGCAAATAACGACTGTTATACATTATGACCACTACCTCTTAAAGCATATGGAGTATTACGAAGTTTAAAAAAATTAGAAATATATGTAGGGCCATTTTGCTTGAAACTTTTATAGAATATTATTAACGACTGCTCAACTCTCCTGTGTTCAAGCGAGCGCATAGTTGCTAAATTCAAAACCGATTCATAACTCACATTTCTTCCTAATTTCATCAATGTACGTAAGCCATAATAATTAGCGTTTTCTAATTTATTTTTAAGTGTTTTACTTATACCTATAAGCAATGGGCTACAGTATTCAAGATGCAGTAGAAAATAAGCTTTATAAAGCTTAATTAATGTTTCTTTTGGCACCATACGTTTCAGTCGTCGCAGGGCAGCGATCTTGGCAAATACTTTCCTGAGAGTATCCTTAATATAAGGTTTAAAATTCAACTCTTCGTCTAATGTTACTCCCAGAATTTTCAGAGTATCTTCGGTTTTAATAGTTTGATTGTCAACTTTCAAATCATAACTGTATTGAGACTTTCCCAGTATCATTGCTTGAGTTTTTTTCCCATTAATGTGGAGATAGTTAGCATTGAACCAGGTGGATAGTGTACAGATATCCTGATTAAGGGTATATTCAAGAATAGCTGGGCTAGTATCATGGGCATATTGGGTGGTATCGTCAGCATACAATCGAAGGGATGAATTTCCAACTGTATAGTTCACATCGTTCACAAAGATGTTAAATAATAAAGGTCCCAGTAGGCTTCCTTGCGGAACACCGCAACGAATAGGTAGCCATTCAGAGTACACGCCATTACATTTTACTCTTTGTTTACGATCTTGCACGTATGAACGCATCAATTGCAGGGCCGAGTCTTGAAGGCCGTATGCTTTTAATTTTGCCAGTAATAAATTGTGGCATATAGAATCAAATGCCTTTGATAAGTCGATTGTCACTACACCAACATCATACAGAGCTTAAAACATGGAAAGGCAGCCATCATGGCGCATACAAATGTCATGTTGTCGCCGACAACAAACTATCGCTTGCTTGTATTCCATGCATGTGTAGATTTCGGCATGCACATGTCAAAAATAAACGCAAAAAAATGTTTAAAAATTAAAAAAAAGCCCATTATCATTTGGTGATTTGCTGAAAATCAGGTACGTGAACTTTCCCGAATTTAACAAAAATCCGGGAAAGGATTTTCGTGCACGTACAATGTTGAGAGACAAAATGAACTTTTACAAATATTATTATTAGACGAGGCCGGGGGTAAATCGTCTTCCGGGATGGAAAGTGAATTGGAAAGCTTACTTGAACATTGTTTATATAATAATAACCAGGAAAATGTCAACCCAAACCTCATCTGTCGTGAGAGAATCAAGTCAAGCAATTTAATTCATGTATCTGTGAACCCCGAAGTTAATAGTAAAACCGTGTCTTGTTCGTCGCATTTTGTACCTGCTATATTATTGTCAAACACTATGTCGCTAGCCCCGAAAATCGATGAAATTGCTGTATTTCTTACTTCGAATCATATAGATATTGCCTTTTTCAGCGAAACATGGTTAAAAGAATCCGTTCCAGATGAAGCTATTAATATTACAAATTACCACTTATTCAGGCGTGATCGTCAACACAAATCCCATGGTGGGGTTTGTTTTTATATTAACAATACCATTTCTTGCAACCGCCTAACGGAGTTAGATAGTGATAATCACGAAGTATTGTGGCTAGCTTTACAACCAAAACGACTCCCACGAAATTACTCAAATATGATAATAGCTGTTGTGTACCACCCTCCAGATGCTGATTGTACAAGTATGCGTGATTATGTCCAATCTTCATTAGAATATATTGAATCTTCAATTCCTAACCCTGCAATCATTATTGCTGGTGATTTCAACAAATTGGACTTACAGGCTACTGTTAAACCTTTTCAACTAAAACCAGTAATTGATTTTCCCACCAGAGGTGCCAATATTCTTGATCAAATTTATACCAATCTATTTGAATACTATTCACCTCCTACTAGTGCTCCTCCATTTGGCTTATCAGACCATCTAACAATTGCCATGTGTCCTGGAACGAGGAAAAGATCGCACGAACCACAATCGCGTATTGTTAAAACAAGAGACAAGCGACCCAGTAATATTAGAAGTCTTGGTCGATTTCTCCAGGAAATTCCATGGGACATTTTATCGTCCATACCCTCAAATGATCAAAAACTATACTTTTTAACTAGCATTATAAACTATGGTTTGAACTTAATTATGCCTGAACGTTCAATAAAAGTCCACCCTAATGATCGACCATGGGTTAATAGCAATCTGAAATCACTGATAAATCGTCTACAAAAAGCCTTTGCATCTGGTAATGTCACTCTTTTTAAAATGTTACGTAATAAAGTTAATCGTGAACGAAAACGTTGTCGTAAAAGCTATTATCAATCTAAAGTTCATAATTTACGTAACACTAACCCCCGAGATTGGTGGCGGGAAGTGAAGCAGTTGTGTGGCACATCTAAACTAAACAACAAAAGTGTAAAAGACCGCCTCCATCAAGATTTATGGCAGGAGACAGACATAACCCTCAGTAATAAAATTAACAATGTTTTTATAAATGTGATACAGAACTATGTTCCATTATCTGAAGATACGGCTGTAATTGTACACAACGATGAAACGCCTATTATTGTGACCGAGTCAACTATATCTAGAAAATTGCAAGAAATTAATACATCGCGTTCCAGTGGCCCTGACGGTATTTCCAATTGGGTTTTAAAAACCTATTCGGATATTCTCGCCTCACCAGTTGCAAATATAATCAATTCTTCCTTTCAAAGCTGTAAAGTCCCTCAAATTTGGAAGCTGGCCGATGTGGTCCCGTTACCAAAAACATCTACTGTCAAAGACTTGGAAAGGGAATTACGACCTATTTCCTTAACTTCCACTCTATCAAAGATAGCGGAACGTCTTGTAATCGAAAGAGAAGTAAAACCAACTCTGTTAAAGGTTGTTGATCCCCAACAATTTGGCTTTATTCCAAATTCTTCCACTGTACTTGCCTTGATATCGATGCTCCATTGTTGGTCGAGTGCAACAGATGGAAGTGGTTCATCTGTTCGCACTGTATTTCTTGACTATAAAA